CACAAAAACAGGTGTTTTTTAATTGTTTGCAGGCCACCTTTAAGCAAGGCATTTAACAAGATGCACAGGTTTGGTAAGATTTTCTGACCTGTGTTTGATTATGTTTTTAAGCAGATGACTCCACTGTTTTTTTCCCCCTATCTCCATCTGCTGACGTTTCCTCTGAATTTGGAGCCAGTGCTGCTTTTGGTTTAGAGAGAAGAATAATCCCACATAAATTTTGCCTCTCGTCATTCATGTTGCACAGAAGCGACAGAAAGGAGAACATTACCCATTTCTGTTTTCTCTTCCAGGAGCTCAAGACTCATAGACTCATAGACTCATAGACTTTAAGGTCAGAAGGGACCAATATGGTCATCTAGTCTGACCTCCCGCATAATGCAGGCCACAAAAGCTGACCCCCCCACTTTCCCTTATCTCAGCTGTTGAAGTCTCCAGATTGTGATCTAAAGACTTCAAGTCACAGAGAATCTTCCAGCTTGAGACCCCTGCCCTATGCTGCGGAGGAAGGCGAAAAACCTCCAGGGCCTCTGCCAATCTACCCTGGAGGAAAATTCCTTCCTGACCCCAAATATGGCGATCAGTAGAACCCCGAGCATACAGGCAAGATTCTCTAGCCAGACCCTCATTCTACCAGCGATAGCCGTTATTGCCTAATTGACTAAAATCACGTTATCCCATCAAACCATTCCCTCCATAAACTTATCTAGCCTAATCTTGAAGCCAGAGAGGTCTTTCGCCCCCACCGTTTCCCTCGGAAGGCTGTTCCAAAATTTCACCCCTCTGACGGTTAGAAACCTTCGTCTAATTTCAAGCCTAAATTTCCCCACGGCCAGTTTGTATCCATTCGTTCTCGTGTCCACATTAGTACTGAGCTGAAATAATTCCTCTCCCTCCCTGGTATTTATCCCTTTGATATATTTAAAGAGAGCAATCATATCCCCCCTCAGCCTTCTTTTGGTTAGGCTAAACAAGGCTTCAAAAATGAAGCCTGCATCTCATGTGCTGTAAATTACTCTAAACTGTGGAAGTTTGAACTACATTTTGTCTTTGGACTACTAACATGCGTTGGTGCTTTCACTGCTGGCACCACTGTCATTTGACTGCGCTTAATGGACTTTACCATTTATTTCCTATTTTTAACATCAAGAAGCCCAATCTCTTAAACTGATCTAAGGCTCTTTGAAGCTCTAATTTCTATCTAAAATTCTGTGAATGATCTTGCTCTGTTCCGTAAATTCTCTGGTGATGTGATCAAAGGTTCCTCATGTCAAACTTCTCCCATGTTTTCTGCAATGATACAGTCTCTCTCTCTAGTACAGGTTAGTTGGTGTTTTAGAATATGCTTTTTTGAATGAAATTTTTGGTATAGTCAATACACTTCTATATGTCCGTTCTCCCCCCTTGCATGAATCATTTTGATAGCTAATAAATTCAGTTGCTTCTCAAGGTTTAAACAGATGAGCTACAATGACAGATCCATCTCATGCTTGAGTTCAATTCAGTGTTATAAAATGTCTTCTTACACAAAAGCTTTTCCCACAGTTGGTACATGTGTATGGTCCATATTCTCAGATGGATTTGTTGGTGACTGAGTAGAAAATGAGTTCCCATAAAGCTTTTGCCACAGTGGTTACAGGCAGATGTTGTGAGTCCGTAAGTGATTAGTAAGTCTTGGTTTCTCAGTAAAGCTTTTCTCGCATTCTGTACATTTATAGGGTCTCTCTCCCGTGTGAGTTCTCTGGTGTCTAATAAGATCTGCATGGCGACCAAAGCTTTTTCCACAGTCTGTACATATGTATGATGATACCTGACTCTTTTTTGCATGAATTCGCTTGTGTTTTAAAAGACCTATCTTCAATTTAAAGGTTTTCTTACATTCTGTACATAGGTATAGTCTCTCTCCTGTGGGTGTCTCCTGGTAGAAAAGGATACCTTTGAATGTATTGGAATCTCCTTTCCCAAGAGTCGAGTTACCCATTCTGCTTCCAGAAAGATTCAGCGGCTCTGTTGCTGTGCTCCAATGACTCTCGCAAGTTATTCCCTTGTCAGGAGTTTGGAAAACCAGGTCTTCTGATCTTCCTGAAAACGATCCATGCAGTTCCATATTTTCTGGAGCTTCCTCATTATCCTGCACTTCAGTTTTGATCACAATCCCATCATCCACTGGAATAAAAAGAATCCAATCATTCATTTCATCTGCTTGGGAAAAGGAAATCTCCTAAGAATAAAACATTCCTGATCCATAATGCACACAATGCTTGTAGGTCATATTGCTCCTTGAGGGAAACAAAAAACAGAAAAGTGATAACTTATCGGACCAGTAAATAATGTATGTCACTCAAACTTTTGCATATAAAATGCCTCTCATAAGCTGCCAATTCCAGAAGTTTAAATAATTTAGATTGAAAGAACTCCACATTATGTCATCTAATCTATCTCCATGCATTTTAACAAGATAGATTTGACTTTGTAAACCATCCCTATTAGAAGCCATGAATATCACCAGTAATGAAGATTCTGCAACTTTAATGCCCTCAAAATCCACCTGTGCCTCTCTATTGCTACTGACAAAGCCCTTGTCCATACCTTTGCCATCTCACTTCTTGATTTTTATAACCTTCTCTGTGGCTGCCTTGATTCTAACCCCTTCCACTCTACTCCATACAAAAAGCTGCTGCTAGTGTCATCTTTCTCCCTGTCACTCAAACTGAATCACTTAACTCCCTGCCCCCTTCACTTGCTCCCTCTTTTTTACTGCATTAAATAGAAATATGTCCTTTCCTTCAACGCACGTATCATCCTGTCTCCAACATCTCTGCTCTCCTTTCCCCCCTACTCCCTCTATATTTCCCATGCTCCTCCCTGTTCTCTCACCTTACTGCTCCCTTCTCCGACTCTTAGCATTGCTCCTTAGAGTGCCCCTACATTTGGAACATCATCCCTCTTCTTTGCCAAGCATCTCTCTTGCCTCCTTCAAACCTTTTGTTAAAACATCTCATGGAATTCTCCCTACCTCATGCTCCTTACTAATAATTCTTCACCACTATCACCCTTCCTAAATTATTTTTCCATGTTAGTAATGGTGGCCATATAAGTACCAAAAGAGATGTTTCATCTTAGACCACATGTTCTGCAAGGTAGGGCATGTATCATACCATTTATTTAAAAAGGGTTATGTAAATTTATATCAGTATGTGATTTTTAATATTAAAAATACTAGTAATAACACAACATTTCATCCAAACACTCAGAAATTGGAGGGATGAAAGGAGAGAAACTGCCTTAGACCAGAAAGTTCACTGGTTCCCATATCTATAATGAACTTATGAGAAGATCTTGTTATAAAATAGCAATACATGAGAAAAGACAAAACTATAAGAGTTCATCATGATGGTTTCTCTTGCCAGCTTTAAGTCATTTACTCTTCTGAGATGTCTTAATCCATTACTCACCTATGCGAGGATTCATAGACATTTCTCTTTCCTCCAAGCCCCGCTGAGCCTTGACACGTAGCTCTTCTCTAGACTGCATATCATGTTTGGAGACTGAATAGTTTGGACAAAGAACAAAAAAAATTCCCATAATATCTTAATATTCACTGGTTATTTTTTAAACTTCAAAGAATGTCACATTATCTGAAACTAAGATGCTTACATTGCTGTGATAGTAGGTAAACTGAGCAGAGGTAACAGTGTTAAAGGTGACCATTTTTAAGTCTGTTCACCTTTTCAGCTTATGAGACTTTTGGTCTACTTATTTATTTTTGTCAAAATCCCTGTTTTCATGAATGTCTGTTTAAAAACAGTGGCTTTGACCTCCCCATGAAAACCCAAGGGACTGGAATTTAAACTCTGCCCCTTGCTGACATCACTGCTATTTGCACACCTTGCAGCTGCAAATAGCATTTTCCTCTCCGTCTCCACACAACTCCTATGTACTGACAGATTGCACTGCACCATCCCTACAGAGCAACTGAGCATGCTCTATCCCAGGGATGCATGGGCTGAGCAGGACTTTCCCTGCAATTGCTCTTCCTACCTGCTGGGGGACACTGTAACACCAGACACTAAAACCAAGAGCAGGGAGACTCTCTCTCCTATGCTTTCAGTGCTCCTGCTGCTGACACCTAGGTAGCGTGGAGAAGGATGAAGCTGCCTGATTCAAAGGCAGAGAGGTGAGGAGAAAAGAGATGCAGAGCTGGGGCAGAAGACACTGGATGTTAGGAGAAGGGGCAGGAGTCTGCCAGGGGATAAGAGCAGACGGGAGGCTGGGAGCACAGGGGTGGAAGGCTCTATAGTCACTAGAAAACACTCTCCAAAGAACATGTCATTCAGTCCATTTAATATTCCTTTGCAGTCTAGCAAATACCTCTGAAACCCACTGATGTCCAAATGCAAACGGATGGACATCATACCAAATGGACTGAAGGTGAAAAATCCATTGCTATCTACATACTGCACAGACCACAGTGAGAGATTACATACTGCACAGACCACAGTATCAAAGAAACTGAGGAACCACCTGATCAGCATCCTATACAGCAAACAGGAAAACATCAAAAAAGAGCTCTCCAACCTGGAGACTTTCATAACCAACCCTACACACAAACGGACTTTACTAAAATAAGACAGGAGATCTACATTACACACTTCACCGCTCTACAAAGGAAAAAGGACCGTAAGATGTCTAAAATCCTACCTGCCACATGGGGCCACAACAGTGGTACCCCAACTCATCCAGCAATATCGTCAATTTATCCAGCTACACACTCAACCCAGCAGAAGAGTCTGTCCTATCTCGGGGACTCTCTTTTTGCCCCACCACCCCCACGAACATGATACAGTTCTGCGGTGATCTGGAAGCCTACTTTCACCGCCTCTGACTCAAAGAATACTTTCAAGATAACACTGAACAGCGCACTGATACACAGATACCCTCCCACCAACAACACAGGAAGAAGAACTCCACATGGACTCCTCCCGAAGGTCGAAATGACAGTCTGGACCTATACATAGAATGCTTCCGCCGACGTGCACAGGCAGAAATTGTGGAAAAACAACATCGCTTGCCTCATAACCTCAGTCGTGCAGAACGCAATGCCATCCACAGCCTCAGAAACAACCCTGACATTATAATCAAAGAGGCTGATAAAGGAGGTGCTGTTGTCATCATGAACAGGTCTGACTACCAGAAGGAGGCTGCCAGACAACTCTCCAATACCAAATTCTACAGGCCACTTTCCTCAGATCCCACTGAGGAATATACTAAGAAACTGCACCATCTACTCAGGACACTCCCTACACTAACGCAGGAACAAATCAACACACCCTTAGAGCCCCGACCGGGGTTATTTGATCTACTACCCAAGATCCACAAACCTGGAAATCCTGGACGCCCCATCATCTCTGGAATTGGCACTCTCACTGAAGGATTGTCCGGATATGTGGACTCTCTACTCAGACCCTATGCCACCAGCACTCCCAGCTATCTCCGTGACATCACTGATTTCCTGAGAAAACTACAATGCATTGGTGATCTCCCAGAAAATACCATCCTAGCCACCATGGATGTGGAGGCTCTCTACACAAACATCGCACACACAGATGGAATACAAGCTGTGAGGAACAGTATCCCTGATGATGACACAGCACAACTTGTTGCTGAGCTCTGTGACTTTATCCTCATGCACAATTATTTCAAATTTGGTGACAATATATACCTCCAGACCAGTGGCACCGCCATGGGCATCCGCATGGCCCCACAATATGCCAACATTTTTATGGCTGACCTGGAACAACGCTTCCTCAGCTCGCGTCCACTCACACCCCTTCTCTACCTACGCTATATTGATGATATCTTCATCATCTGGACCCATGGGACTCTGGAAGAATTCCACCACGATTTCAACAGCTTCCACCCCACCATCAACCTCAGCCTGGACCAATCTACACGGGAGGTCCACTTCCTAGACACCACAGTACAAATAAGTGATGGTCACGTTAACACCACCCTGTACCGAAAACCCACCGACCGCTATGCCTACCTTCATGCCTCCAGCTTCCACCCCGGACACACCACACGATCCATCGTCTACAGCCAAGCGCTGAGGTACAACCTCATTTGCTCCAACCCCTCAGACAGAGACCAACACATACAAGATCTTCACCAAGCATTCTCAAAACTACGATACCCGCACGAGGAAATAAGGAAACAAATCAACAGAGCCAGACGTGTAACCAGAAGCTTCCTGCTACAAGACAAGCCCAAGAAAGAAACCAACAGAACTCCACTGGCCATCACCTACAGTCCTCAGCTTAAACCTCTCCAACGCATCATCAGTGATCTACAACCCATCCTGGACAATGATCCCTCACTTTCACAGACCTTGGGAGGCAGGCCAGTCCCTCGCCCACAGACAACCCGCCAATCTTAAGCATATTCTCACCAGCAACCACACACCGCACCATAACAACTCTTACTCAGGAACCAATCCATGCCAACTGCCCACATATCTACACCAGCGACACCATCACAGGACCTAACCAGATCAGCTACATCATCACCGGTTCATTCACCTGCACGTCCACCAATGCTATATACACCATCATGTGCCAGCAATACCCCTCTGTTATGTACATCAGCCAAACTGGACAGTCCCTACGTAAAAGGATAAATGGACACAAGTCAGATATTAAGAATGGCAATATACAAAAACCTGTAGGAGAACACTTCAACCTCCCTGGCCACACAATAGCGGATGTAAAGGTAGCCATCTTACAGCAAAAAAACTTCAGGACCAGACTTCAGAGAGAAACTGCTGAGCTTCAGTTCATTTGCAAATTTGACACCATCAGCTCAGGATTAAACAAAGGCTGTGAATGGCTAGCCAACTACAAAAGCAGTTTCTCCTCCCTTGGTGTTCACACCTCAACTGCTAGAAGAGGGCCCTACCTTCCCTGATTGAACTAACCTCGTTATCTCCAGACTGATTCTTGCCTGCATAGTTATATCTGCCTCTGAAATTTCCATTACATGCGTCTGACGAAGTGCCCACGAAAGCTTATGCTCCAATACATCTGTTAGTCTTTAAGGGGCCACAGGACTCTTTGTTGCTTTCCACTGGCTAAGTGTGTATCACCATCCCCCTCTAGTGCCACATCCTCACAAATGATAAAAACCTTCTACTCCTTCCACTTACTCTATTACCTCAAGTGGTAGAGGTCTGTATGGATCTAAAGATCCTAATTCTGCTGATGACCCATGTGGGAAGGACAATATGGTTCCTCAGGATAAATTAAAAAAAAAAGGAATACTTAAGAAATTACATCCAAAAAACTACATTAAAAGAACATGAAGGTTACAAAATCAAGCATGAATGAAAGACACCTATAACCTTAATTCAGCCCCCTTGTGCTTATGCATTATGATAGTCTTTAATTATGTGATGATATACTATGTTTTCACACAACTCCTGCCCCATTCCTTGTAAAAGACGGATTGTGCTTTGACAATAGATTGGGTTGTGTTGTGAAAGAGGTTGTTGTCTGTAGGACTCCTGCTTCATTTGTTGCAGAAGTTGGAAGGTGTGCAGCGAATGAGGCAGGGAATTGCAGGAAGAGAAAGGGTGGCCTCATGGTTAATGCCACTGAATAGTGCCCTGGAGAACTGGATTCTATCCCTGCCTCTGCCGCAGAGTTCCTATGTGATGCTGAGCAAGTCACTTAAACCAACATTTTCACAGGTGGCTATTGGTTTTTTTTTCTGCGGGTGTTCCTAATTTTCTGAAACAGCACCACACATGGGGTTGTACTAATTTAACTACTTCGATAACTGCTGTGGTGGTGGTGGGGGTTAGGTCAGTACAAAAACTGTACACAGACCAGGTACTGGGAGGGGAGAGGAGGTGAGGTGGGGTGGGGAAGGAGGGAATCAGACTAGGAGCAGCTCACACTACAACTTCATGATTAAAAGGTCCATGGGGTTTGTGATGTAATTCTTTCACCTAAAATTAAGCAAAAACTGCTGAGGATGAAAGTGTGTGCCCAAAAGGCAAACTTTAAGGGGGTGGGGGGAGGTAAAAAAATAATCTTAGAACTAAAAAAAAAAAAATACATGCTAAAATATAAGTAATCCTAGAAAAGATCAGAAAGGATTTGCAGATTACTTTAATAAAGATCCTGCAGACAGGCAGAATGTTTGCCAGGAAATCAGTTTTGCTCCCTTCAGGAAATTCAGGGAGAATCCCAATCACACCACATGTACTAAACCACTTGGCAGTTTATAAATCAGCTGAAAGTCCAGATCCCCTTCAAGAGGAAGAGAACACACACCTAATCTTTCCCATTGCCATTTTTTCTTGTTTTAGAGTTGGCATATAGATTAGAAGGGATATAATCACAAATTACTTAAATACTTTATTCTTGAAATATCCTTTACTGAAGGAATGTTTCATCCACATCACACATGGAAAATAGCATCTGTGCATGTGTTGTTCAACATACACAACTAAATAGTGTATAAGCATTATTCACAGAAGGAAAACGGTGGATATAGAGGTATTAGAAACATGACTGTGTCTATCAATCTTCTTTTACAGAAAAGGACGTATGGAGTTGATCTTCTATCACAAAGGTTTTGGAGCATCTAAGAACTGATCCACCAGCAATCAAAGGATTTGAGAGACCAGACTGGAGCCAGCCCAAGAACTGTACATATTTCACAACTTCCAGAGAATGAGTGAAAACTGACCTTTACCCAGTGAGATTAAAGATTCATAATTGTCCTTTATCACTTTTTTGTAAAGCTCTTTTTGCCACTCTTCTAAATTCTTCCCTTCAGGAGCTGCAACATTATCAAATGTCCCTGGGACCTGAAATAAAAAATATTGCATACTTAGTATCTTTGATTACATCCTGACAAGGGCCTTTCTGAGAATATTAAATGAGCAGACATTTGCCGGATGTTTCTGATGGCACTCATGCTACTGTATATCTCCTTTACAAAGAGGAATTAGATATTTATACTGCTATGTCTATGTCTCGCTCAAAGTCAGTATAATCGTTTCAAGGTGGTATTCCTTAGCTCTTCACTGAAATCATGACTTCCCAAGCAACAGAATCAAAAGGTAGAAGTAAAGACTATTAAAGTCATCTTGGCCAATCTCTGAAACTCAGTGCAGTTGTTCTCTTCAGCACACTCTTCAGTGCTTTCTTTGTCCAATGTATTTTAAATTATTCAAGCTATGAGGCAACTCCACAGTTTAATAGATCTCACTGCCAGGATTTCTTTTTCCTGATAATCAACTTAAATTTTCCTTTGCTCATTTACAATTCCTTACTTCTAGCTATACTGTCTTGTACCACACTGAATAATTCCTCTCCCTCTTTAGCATTTATACCTTCCAAATACTGGCAGACTGTTGTATCACTCCTTCACCAATACATATTTTTAAAAAAACTTTTTTTTAAATCTTTCCTTATAAATCAAACCCTCCAACCCTTTAATCTATTTTGTTGCTCCTTTTTTCAATTCCTTCCAACTCATCTAGATCTTTCTGATTTGAGGTGACCAGAGTTGAGTACAGTATTATAGCTGCAGTTTCTTAAACCACTTCCTCTTCCATTTCCCAGATAGGAAGTGCTTCTTTTGGCCTTGAATCTTGTGTAATGCCCACAACCTCCACACAGATTAAACAATCTCTGATGACATGTTTCTTTGCTCCTACAGTTATAAACATAACATTTAGGAAAAAAAAAAAAAAAAAATCAATGAAAAGCTAGTGCAAATACATCCAAGACTGCCAATTTCACATCTAGCTTGTAGCTCCCCGCCCAATTAATTTTAATATTAAAGGACACAAACTACATGTAAAGTTGTATCAATACTTGCCTGATCAGTATTATTGTTCCCACGTGGCTTGTATCCATTTGGTAATATTAGGAGCGAACACTCTGCCTTTATGTATTGCCTTTCATTCAAATGGGTATCTAAGTGTTTCACAAATGTTATCAATTGTACAACCTATGGATCCAGTTCTACAAATCTGTAGTCATATGAGTATTCACTTTTACATTAGAAAACTATTCCATGAGTAAGCACTACTCAGATGATGGTTTGTAATATCTGGTCCCAAACAGGATCGCCACCCAAAACTGATGTACAAGATACTGAATTGAACCGAAACTTAGGGCATGTCTACACTTACCTCCGGAGCGATCGATCCAGCAGGGGTCGATTTATCACGTCTAGTGAAGACGCGATAAATCAACCGCCAAGCGCTCTCCCGTTGACTCCACCGGAGCGAGAGGCGCAGGCGGAGTCAACGGGGGAGCGTCAGCAGTTGACTTACCACAGTGAAGACACGGCGGTAAGTAGATCTAAGTACATCGACTTCAGCTACATTATTCACGTAGCTGAAGCTGTGTAACTTAGATCGACCCCCCCCACCAGGCCTAAGACACTGTTTAGCAGTCCCCAGCAAGGTCTGCCCAGATCTGAAGAAGAGGTCTGTGTAGCTCAAAAGCTTGCCTCTTTCACTATCAAAAATTGGTCTAATAATAGATATAATCTCCCACTCTTATCTCTCTAACATGCTGGCTACAACAATAGTACATAGTATAAGCTCTATACTACAAACAAGTCATCCCAAATCAAATGAGATTATTCACATGAGTAAGGATTACTCACTCATACAAGTACAGATTTGCAGGATCAGGATCCATTTTAGAGCAGGAAGTAAAGAAGAGTACAGTATCCAACTGAAATGCCAAGCAGAAATTTTTACTTGGGCAGAATGTAATTGCACAAGCTGAAACAGGATCAAGAGAAAAGTACCATGATATTTTCTGTATTCACAAGAGCTCAACAACCATATGCCTCCTAACTCTATGGTGCACAATGTTAAGGAGCAACTCAAAGGGAAAAGTGCAACCTACTGAATTATTTATATTTTTATTTCCTGCAGCACCTAGGTGTTCCCTTGGAGAATTCCCATCCAAGTATTCTCTTATTATGCTCTCTTAATTTAAGAGAAACAAATAGAATATCAAATATTTAAATTACCTTCAAATGTTCAGGATTCCGGATTCGTTTTCGAGTTTTATTACTTATTCCACCACAGAAACTTTGAGGTGTTCCAACAAGCCAGTTTCCGTCTTCGCCCAAAATGAATTTTTTGGGAACTGCTTCTTTCAGTAGGCGCCGGTTTTTCCTAATTTTTAGAGGATCAATTTCAAAAGAACTATCCTCAAAATGTTTAGAACATAGTCGCTGATGTTTTGATGGAGTTCCCATTTCCCGACCCATGTTGTGAATCCACTGCTTCAAGAGAGGTTTGTTATGTAAAGGAAAGCCATAGAAAGTAACTGTACTGTTCTTATATACCCCACTCGTAGCATTTTGACAGTTCAAAGCTGAGCAATAAACCATTGTAAAATGAGCAGTAGAAGCAAATCTAAAACAGTAATAAGATGCCAAGAGGTCAGTTTGAAGGGTTTATAATCAACTATTGCTTTAATATTAAGAGCAGTAGATATATGCACCTCAACAACGTACAGTGTTGTAAAATACAGGAAAAGATTAAGTTCACAGTGAAGCAAAATGTAGTCGTGGAGCCAGACTTCAATATAGGACACATGCAGACCTCAGCATAGTTGACATCTGTAAAATACAAAGAAAAGTCAGCCTCCTGCTTCTTAAATTATATACCGCTCTTCCTTAAAACCATATACTGGTATACAGTTTCCACAACTCCCACTACCTATTTACAACCCCCAAACTAAAATGTCCCTTTTAAAATAACATAATTTAACATTACCATGCACATCTCCCATATATTAAACACCCCTATATTATGCATACACACAAGTACACCCTATCAATCAGGATATTTGCTAAGAATTTTGCCATATTCAGGAGCAAAGAAATATTTATAACATTAGGGTTACACAGAAGGCAGCAACAGAAAGGTGATGTACAATGTCCAAAAGGAGCGATTCATATGAGGAAATGTCAGCTTTATACTTGTCAGGAAGAGGAGGAGACTTTGGTTGCACACTGAAGTAGGAGCAAGTCTCAGAGGATCGACATATGGAACGTCCAGTGGCAGGAAGGAGCTCTTAGAAGAAACGTGTTGGAGTGCAAGAACTCAAGTATATGCTGATGCACAGGGGCCTGTAGTCAACAAATCAGATATGTACCTACATTTTAAATTGGGACGGAGGCATGTGTGAAGGAAAAGGAAATGTCAAGAGAAGGGACTCTAGAAAGGAGAATGTTGGGAATGCATTGTACAAACAAATTTAACCCCAGATATCCCAGAACCAGTTCTGGGGTATGTCCTTTCCCTGGAATAAATCTCTTGACCATTTCCACATATCTGGAAGTGTCTGAAGTTCCTGACACTCTGGTCACACGGGCAGCACACCACCCGTGTATTGGGTCAAGAAGCACCATGCCATCACACTGGGGAAATGCAGGTAGCCCTGCTCCACCACATCAATGGGGGGAGAAGGGGCATAGTGAACCCTCCACTCTGGTTCATCGTGCCTGGGCAGCCCTGATCTATCAGCACAGCACGCTACGAGGGGCAGGCAGCCCCTGGCTCACTGCCCTGATGCAC